GGCTATTTTTTTTTGCCGAGCCTACGGAAAAAGAAACCCACAATAAAAATCGGCCTTGTGCCATATTCGTTTCGTGGGTGAAATGATAAATACCGAACGGTGTTGAGCCGTCTCTTTTCTGCGCACGCCTCCTGTCGAACTCTCTGCATTACAAAAAGAGAGGAACCCAGACGAGGCTTTGCCGAAGGGCAAGGTTTCGTCCGGGGAGGTGGACAGGGCCTGAACACGTCTAATCGGCTTCAAAAGCTATTTTTTTTTTAGCCTACGGGCTCGGAGAAACCCACGATAAAAACCGGCCTTGTGCCATATTCGTTTCCCGTGGGTGAAATGATAAATACCGAACGGCGTTTCGCGGTCTCTGATTGCGCACGCCTCCTGTCGAACTCTCTGCTTTAGCATTCTAACCTTTTGCCGAAGGTTTCGTCCGGGAGGTAGACAGGCCTGAAATTACGTCTAATCGGCTTCAAAAGGTTATTTTTTTTGGCCGATTTTACGGGCTCAAGAGAAACCCACATAAAAACCGGCCTTGTGCCATATTCGTTTCTCGTGGGTGAAATGATAAATACCGAACGGTGTTGAGCGCGTCAGTCGAGATTCGGACATTTGAAGTACCAACCATCACAACTAGATTGCTGCGCCATAGACTCTTATTTTCCAAGTTCCTAACGTTTTGTACGTCGGACCTAATTTAGGACGACTTATTAGAAATACAAGCCTCCACTGTGAAAATACTCCACAACATTAACCTAATTAGGAAGTATAAGAAATAAAATTTATGTGTTCTTTTCTCTGTGTGTATTAATTTGAAACAAGTGCGTTTTCTGTTCAGCGTCACTGCAATTTGATGATAAGGACATGCGGATAATGTGTCAGGTATCTGTGTGGAAAATGAAACCGACTAACCGAGTTCAAATCCCGGTTGAACCTGCTAGATTCAATTTCGCATAAATGCCCTTGGGAAGAGTCAAGTATACATCTATACTCCCTAGCTATGGGTTAAATATCAGAATCAACTAGGTTCTCTAGCCTTGGATGGCCGCGAGATTACTGTGAAATCAAAAAGGTAACGAGAAACCACTCTCCTATCTTTTTAAAGAAGTTTTAACAAAATAAGAGGTATTGTAATAAATATTACGTTAAAATATTTAATATTATATATATATATAGATGTTATAAAACATAGAATTTTGTTTTTATGAATTTATATTATATATGTAATTTTTTTTAATCGTTTCACCCCAAGCAAGGCGGGAAGCCACTTGGATGCAAGAAAACATTTTTTGGATTTTGGATAAGATAGGAAAAATAGAAGAAAGGATGAGGAGGAGGGTAGTGGATAGATCAAGGCAACTGGAGATGTCAATTGACATTACATTTTCTTAGCTGGAGATCATAGCTCTCAGGGAAACTGGAATAGGGAAGGGAGTTCCACAGGCGAGAGGTGCGAGACATGAAGCTATTGGAGTAGAAGAGACCGCTACATTTAGTAGTTTCGACAGTGAAGGGGGTGAGCGGGATACCAGCCTCGTAGGTCGCTTGAATTCATGAAGTCTGGGAACCAGCGAATGCAGCTCCTCGGAGCAATTGCCATTTTTTTATTTGTAAAAACAGAGGGAGGCGACGAATCGTCTGTGAGAGAGTGACTGTAGACGAGATGCCAGAGCAGGGCCAATTATATTGCATATACGCCTCTGGAGCCTATCAAGAACCCCGAGGTAAACAGAAGGGGCTCCAGACCATATATGGTAGCAATACTCCATGCAAGGGCGAATTGTTGATATGTAGATCTGGAGGATCGATTCCGGAGAGAAAACAGTCAATTTTTAAATAAATTTCATATAATAAGTTAACCTAACAGCTCGTCTCGAAGTGACGTGGCTTTTAAGAAAAAGTCGACGTGTTAAATAATAGTTGAGCAGAATTGAATCTCATCTGCAACTCCCAAAGTTTGACCTTCAAGGTCAGATACAAGCCAAAATAAGGAAGTCGATTTTGATTGGCCGAGCCAGCGTGGATATGATAGATAGAGAAAAGGTCTTTCAGGTAGTCAAATCTAAACCGTCAAACAATGTAGATGTGTTTTCTTTCGTGTCTGAAACGGCTCCCCAATGAGAGGGAACGCCCCCCCCCACTGGATAGATAATACATGCCATTTATAAAATAAGTAAGTTATAATTCCCTGGGTTGAAGTTCTTTTATCTCTGGACTGAAAACAACTAGCGAGCACCGGCCGCGAGAAAGAAGAAAGAAACTTTATTATCGAATTTATGACGTCACCTAAGACCCCCAAGCATGAGGTGGGGGCTATACAACATATAATTATTTCTCGCTGCGACCAGGAGCTCCCAGTATGAGGGCGCTATACAACAGACGTTCGTGGGTAGATTTTATGACATATCGATCCTATTGTTTAATTTCGTATGGTGCCTCTAATGTAGGTTGAACAAATGACGCAATTGTATTAATCAAGTGCAATAGACTCGCTAAACATCATAAACATTATTGAAAATCGATTTGTTTTCGATCGAAAACAATTGATTTTAACAACTTTTGACAGCTTACACAAAGGTATATTTTTAAAAATTGTTTTTTTTTTTTTATGAAAAATTATGGAAAATGTTGAAATAGACGCCATTTACTCGGATTTCAGCCAGTTTTTGATATCTTAAACAACGTTATATTAAAAAGTAATTTGGTGTTTGAAATCATTCAAAAACACCGAAAAGTATTGAAAATCAATTTGTTTTCGATCGAAAACAATTGATTTTAACATCATTCGACAGCTTACACAAAGTTAGATTTTTAAAAATTGTTTTTTACAAAGTTATGAAAACATGGAAAATGTTGAAATAGACGCCATTTACTCGGATTTCAGCCAGTTTTTGATATCTTAAACAACGTTATATTAAAAATGATAATTTGGTGTTTTTAAATCATTCAAAAACATAGAAAAGTATTGAAAATCAATTTGTTTTCGATCGAAAACAATTGATTTTAACATCATTCGACAGCTTACACAAAGTTAGATTTTTAAAAATTGTTTTTTACAAAGTTATGAAAACATGGAAAATGTTGAAATAGACGCCATTTACTCGGATTTCAGCCAGTTTTTGATATCTTAAATAACGTTAAGTTATTTAAAAGTAAATTTGGTGTTTGAAATCATTTGAAAACACCTAAAATTATTGAAAATTAATTTGTTTTCGATCGAAATTTTAACAACTTTCGACAGTTTACACAAAGTTATATTTTTAACAATTGGTTTTTACAAAGTTATGAAAACATGGAAAATGTAGTTGAAATAGACGCCATTTCTCTCTCTCCCCACTTTATGAGTTAAATAAAATTTACGCTAGATTCTTTATCTTTTATTAACAGCCAGTCTAAGTAGGTATCTTTAAAATCTGGACATATAATCAAAAATGCATATTTTCAAGAAATTAAATTTTGAACAACGTTTTTGGTTGTAATGTCAATTTTTTTTAAATATGTATTATGCTTTATGGAAAATAAAGCATAATACATATTTTTAAAAAATCCACATTAAAAACCAAAAACTTTTGCGGGTTCTCTTTTCTTTTTAATATATACACTTTTCTCTCGTTGAAACAACTGTAACTTCTTCCCTATATATATATATATATATATATATATATATATATATATATATATATATATAAATATATAAAAAAAAAATCCAAAATTCCATATATTCCATGGTTATAATTTATTACATTCGAATCGTAATCACGATGCAATTCATCAGACCAAGAAATATAAAAACTTTCAAAATTCAAAAATCAGTTATATATATATATATATATATATATATATATATATGTGTGTGTAGTGTGTGTGTGTGTGTGTGTGTGTGTGTGTGTGTGTGTTGTGTGTGTAAGCAAATATGTGGATATAGATCCGACGGAATGAAAAAAAATTTTTGTCTATTCATTTATTATGCTGTTTTAATGTTGTTTCAATGTCGACGTCAGACGTTTCAAAAAATAGACCTTCTTTCAGGAGATAGTTATTAAAACATAATTAAAATTAGACGATATTCAAGTCAATATGAAAAGACGATAGACATAAGACTAATCAAAATAGAATAAGTGAAATTGTTAAGATCAGCGTTCCCTTTCTCAATATGAATATATTTTTAAATCTTCACAGAATCAAAATCGAAATTATGATCAGATTGAGTTATGTGTACAAATAAAGCATTGTTTAAATTACGAATATCTCGTTTATGTTCAAAAACACAAGATTTTACGGACCTACATTTTCACAACATCGCCCATGTGACACCGACGTATTGCGAAACGGAACACTGAACTTAAAAATGTCAGTTATTCTATTTTGAATAGTCTTTTGTCTATCGTCTTTTCATGTTGACTTGAATATCGTCTAATTTTAATTATGTTTTAATAACTATGTCCTGAAGAAGGTCTATTAGACCGAAACGTCTGACGTCGACATTGAAATAACATTAAAAACAGCATACTTGCATATTCGGATTTTTTTTTTCCATATTTTTTATATATATATATATATATATATATATATATATATATATATATATATATTTATATAATATATTTGATTTTTTGAATTTTGAAATTTTTTTTCAAGCTGTAATTATGATGAACTGATAATTATATTTAGGTGTCAATGTAATTTATACAGAACAAGAATATAATATAAAAATTTTATATTATATTCTTGTTCTGTCCTTACATTGAGCACTCTACCTGATTCTATCCTTTTGGAAATATATATATATATATATATATATATATATATATATATATATATTGACCACTAATATCTCTTTTCAAATCCCTCACCTTATTCTCTCCCTCTCTCTCTCTCTCTCTCATCTCTTTCTCTCTCTCTCTCTATCATATATATATATATATATATATATATATTTTTTTTAAATATGTATTTGTCTGTGTATGTCTGTCTATATGCGTATGCGTTTCAGTGTGTATGTATGTGGCTTACGATCACATCAAGTTGAAAGATCGGTTCCCGTACAATCCGCGACGTTAAGCAATGTTGAGCCTGGTCAGTACCCAGATGGGTGACCGCTTGGGAATACCAGTTGCTGTAACCTTGGATGTGCGGTGGTCTAATAATAACGGATCGGAATTATTAATCAAAGAACCGAGTTCCAATTTCACTTAGATTCGTTATATTCACTTGCGCTCAAATACCCTTGGGAAAGGTATGAATCCACCTCTTTCCCCCATCCATGGGTTAATTAGTAAGACGTATTAATAAATAATTATTATCTCCCCTCAAAATTCTTTCAATCTAAAAATATTTTCTGGCTTTCAATAACCTGCAAATGGTTGATAAGCCGTAAAAAAGAAATAAATTAATCAATCAAATTTTGGTTATCTACACAGTCATGTTTTTTAAATTTAGTTTAATTCTCTAGAATATGAATTTATGGAAACTACTGTGGCCACAAAGAGAGGGATCCGTTTATATATTTATTGTAATATAGAATTGACCCCCACTTTATACCCACGTTATAATCTCTTGTTTGTTTATTGAATTCTAATTAGGCATGAATCCACCTCTTCTCCTCCCAGCTATGGGTTAATTAGTAAAATGTGTATCATTATTAAATTTAATTGTTCTCCCAAAAATCTTTAATTTCAATTTAATTAAAAAAAGTATAAAAAATGGATAAAATGCATTTTTTTTTTTACTAAAAATATCTTTTAAAATTTATACTATGCTTTGTTTATATAAATATGTAAATTTAAAAATTCATGATTGTCGACCGAAATTATCTACCTGGAAACTATTAGCTTAAACTTTAGAGTAACTTTCATATACCTATTGTCATTATTTAAAACGCTATTATGCAGATTACCAGTGTTATCATTGATAGTATTCATAATATTAATTTTACTGTTATTTGTATTTCCATTCATTTTATTATTAATTTTGATATTTCATTTATGGAAAAATGTCATAACTGAGATTAATATAAAAATAAGATCATATAAATTTCATAAGATGATACTGATACTTGTAGGTACCCTTCTCAGTTGAAATTGAAAAATCAAATTAAAATTCTCCACATGTGTTTCAAAAAGTAAAGGCCTTAAACAGCGGAGAACAATGCTTAACTCAAATAAAGCAACTTAATTGTATTCTGGTTGGTCTTCCGTTACTTTATAATTACAGCCCGATTATAAACACAAAATTACATTTCTTAATTACTGCGGATCTTCTGATTAGTCAAAATGATACAATTTACAACATGCTAAAAAAGATCTATCTCATAAGGCCACTTACGAAAGTGGATGCGTCTTTTAACTAATTTTATAATATTTTAACAACTTAAATGTAAAAATCTATTATAATTAAAGAAATAACAAATAATTGTTTAAAATTCATTTTTCATCGAAAAAATTTTTTTTTTTTTTAATTTGTCCATATTCATATTCATAAAAAAAAAACTAAAAAGCAAATAAAAACTTTTGAAATTAAATAATATCTTTGTGTTATTGAGTTTTGTATGTTACAATTCAGAGCTGATTTTTAGGTGGGGGGGTCCAATTGAAAAAAAACAAAACACGATTTGCATTCGTCAAAGCCTTGTGCTTTTAACTATTGTAATCACTAAACCTGACGCGATCGAATTTCTAGCGTTTTCATAAAATTAGTTATTGTGGGTAATAAATTTTAAAAAAATATTTCTGCCATGACTTTAATAAAAAAAAAAATATTTTATAATAATTTCGATCATTTGTGAATAGTTTCTGAAAGTTTCATTAACATCCGACAATTATTTTTATTTTTGCAAGATTTTCCAAAATTAATGTGTGTCATACCAAAAAAAAACTGCTAAAAATTGTCTATATGTTATTTACTTTAGTTCCGGTGATACAAAGAGAAACAAGTTTTTTTTTATCAAAATTTAGAATGTTCTAAAAAAAGGAAAATTTTTTTGTAAAATTAAAAAATAAACTTTGATCTTTCCTCTTAATAATAACATAAGCATTTAGACGATAAAATTTTTTGTTTTTGTCAAGTTTTGCGTCTTTTTCATCATCTATGCTCTATTTTATTTGTTCATATAAATACAATCAAATTCTAATTTTTATATCCTTAATTATTCCACAAAACTTTAAAATCATACCTTTATAATTTGTACATTTATCATACAAAAAATTTTGACTGAATTTTTTGGTAAAAAACTGTTTTGGAAATTATAATAATTGTTTGATTTTTTTTTTAAATTCTTAAAAAAATATAATTCTGCAAATTTATTCATATCGTGTTTTTTTTCATTATTAAATTTCGTTTAATTGTAATCATGGCTTCTATTCACTAAAATAATAATGCATAAATATAAAAAAAGGCTGTACCATTTACTAATAATTTTACTTTTTCCACTAATTTTTTCTTGATTTTCCCATACTGAAATTGAAGTATTTCTAATACACCAAATTTTCTTATATAACCATCAAATGTGGTAAATTACTGAATTTTTCAACGGAATTACTAAATTTTTCTACATTGTTCATTTCTCAGATTTCGATTTCTTCCCGCGTTAATCTAATCCACCATTTTTTTTTATTCTTTTAGCCCATTTAATGGAAACCACTCAAAGTAAAAATATTTTTTTTTATTGTAGATATTCTACCTTCAAGGTATTTTTAATGACCTCTTATCCATGATTACATTTTTTCTTTTGATTTTATTTCATAATTCTTTAACATTTCTAGGCATTGTTTTATCATTAATGTCGGTTTGTTAGAAATACTGTCATTCATAGATAATGGACTTCAAATATCTTCAGAGTTCCCCTTTCATTTATCAGATAATAAAAAAAAAAAATTTTTTATTTTTACTACAAACTGAAAAAGAAATTCAGAAAATATCTTTATAAATATTTTTTTCTTTGTTCTTTTTTAAAGATCAGCTGTCAACGCCGGCGTCATTAACAATTTAATTAATTTCAGTGGCTGGAATGGATATTGTGTGGGGCGCCAAATTGTTAAATTTTTCTTGATTTGAAATGCATTTCTCAAAGAACTTTCATTTCATGTGCAAAAATTTTTGAGTTTTTTTTTATATCATGGGGGGTCTTACTTTTTAATTTATATGTTCAAATCAGACATTGTCAAGAAACGAACTTGGATGGCGCCATTCTAAATGCAGAAAAGGCCAAACTTTTTCATTGCGACAGTATGATTTAAACTGATTTTGGTTGTGTTTTGGGTTTAGAACGATTTTTTGAATACATTTTTTATATATAAATTTTTTATAACAAGAAATTTTCAAATAGTTCATAAGGACTTTCTAAATTTGGGAAATAGAATCGAATAAAAATAAAAAGAAATTTTAAATAGATTTTTATAGATATTTAATTATGTGAAAGGCAAAAAATAGGAGGTATTATCTAATAAAATGATATTTTAAAAAATACCTTCTGAATTAGATATAAGTTAGAAAAATCATGAATTATCCAATTTTATTAAAAATTTCAAATTCAAAGAACGATTTTTAAATTTAAAATATATGATTAATTTTTATATAAATTTTTGTTTACCATGAAGTCCTATAAAATTAAATTAAATTAAAAAATATTTATGCATAGCCAGTTGTATGTTGCATGCTCAAGAATAAGAAATCCTAAGAATTTATGCGTCACTATTAAAAAGAAAACAAATTTTAAGAAAGTTTTGTTTTAAAAAATTCCCACCATAAACTTAAATTAAATTAAAAAAAATTTATATAATAGGTTGTATGTTGCATGCTTGCCTGTAAGAAAAAAATAAAAATTTATTCGTCACTATGAAAAAGAAAAAAAAATTAAGAAAATTTTGTTTACCATGAAGTCCTATAAAATTAAATTAAATAAAAGAAATTTTTATGCATCGCCAGTTGTATGTTGCATGCTCAAGAATAAGAAATCGTAAGAATTAATGCGTCACTATTAAAAAGACAAAAGCTTTTAAGTAAATTTTGTTTTCTATGAATTCCAATATTTTATTAATATAAATTAAATTAAAGAAATTATTATTTATAAATTAAATTAAAGAAATTATTAAACCGCGATGGAAGATTTTTGCCATAATATTCTTCAACACAAATCAGCTTATTCAAATTTCATCGATTGCTTTACAAAATTGAACGAAACCTAGAGTTTGTAAATCTCGACAAAAATGTTAGCGATAACTTCAGTTCACTTTTAAATTATTTGACTATTGTCCTCATCTTTTGTTGCCATATTTATTACAACGTTTTTCCTTTCAGTATCTGTTTATATTTTGAGATTAGGTATTATGTACAATTCCCCCATTATTCGGACTATTTATTTCCTGACAATTTTTGTTTTTTATTTCATCACAACGTTTTTCGGCCTTTTTTATCATGTAATATTTCTGAGATGAAATATTATGTACAAACCGTTAATTATCAATTCCACTATTGTCCTCATCTTTGTCCTTTATTTAATAAAATGTTTCGGCCTTTCAATATCTGTCTATATTTCTGAGATGAGGTATTATGTACACTATTTTGTTATTCAAAAATAACTGTCTCCTCATTTTTGTTAAATTTTTATGAAATGTTTAAATACCTTTCAGTATGTGTCTATATTTTATGAGATTAGGTATTATGTACACTATTTACATTATTCGGACTATTGTCCTTATCTTTTTCGCCATATTTCTTACAACGTTTCTTATTCATAAATCTGTCTAAATTTTCTGAGATGAAAATTCAAAATGGTTGATTAAAAAATTGTCAATATTTTTCTATTTATTAATTGTTTCGGCAATTATTTTTTATATTCTTCAGGTGGTTGGAATATTAAATAAAATTAATTGATGAAAGAAAATTTATTAAATACATTCAAAGCGATCGTATCTTTATGGTAAAATTTTCTTTAATTTTATGATATAAATGAAAACATTTTTCTCTGCACTAGACCAATTGTTATTCAAGTCTATAGCACCCGGTCTGTCCTGCTAAATCAACCCAAATAGCTGTGGATCGGGTAGAAGAATAATATTTTATAACGTAAAATGTGAAAATTAATGGAACAAAATCGAATTCGAACTCGGCTTCCGATTTCTCAAC